ATATATATATATATCTGAAAGCATTTTTCTTATGCTAAAATTGAGTCATTTTATAGGTAAGTAAGTACAAGTGCATTAATGGCTCCAGCTTTGAAGTTGTGAGGCCAATTTGGTCTTTTCTCCCGTGCCATGTACACCAACGTTGGCAAGCGACTTCCTTCATTGTCCACAGCAGTTGTGTCCCTTCCATCAATTAAAATCTATAAAAATAAATTAATAAATCAATAAACTAATAGTAATAGTAATAACAATAACACTAATAACAATGTATCAAAACAATCTAACATGGAAAGTAGTAAAAAAGAGAGGGAAAACATTGTGAAAACAGTACTCCTATAGGATATTATTACCTGCACAATTGACTGATGATCATTCTTTTTAATGTTGAGGTTCCATTCTGAGAATCCTTTGTGCCGCTTCCTTGTTTCTTGAGGAACTTTTCCGAGTTTAATAACTGTCTCGATCCGGTTTTTCATATCTTCATACAATTTCTTTGTAGAACACACGAAAATATTCCATTGTTATGAAGGATATATGCCACTATTTTCCAGCTTAAGCATAAAGCAATATATTACATATTACATATTAATTGTTTTATCTCAAAAAAATTAAATTAAAAAAATAGAGCTGTCAAGTTAAATCGTGCTCAAAGCCAGCTCTTCCATTAAGCCAATTAAGCAATTGTCAAAGGCCCCCATATAATTAAGGCACCCATATAAGTAAGAGTCCTAATTAATTATATCTATTTATGATGACCATTTTGCAATAAACTAAAAGAAACAAAAAAGAGTAAATCAATATTTTGAAGATAACTTTCTCCTTGAAATATGAGAATATCAATAGACAAAATTTTCATTTATTTCAAACACTACCAACATTTTTAGTTTTTTAGACCTCAAATATATATATATATATAGACACACACACACACACACACACATATAAGCCGATTGCTCTGTATAGAATACTGCATACATCGCTCTTTTTATTTTTCTACCAAAACAAAATGGCTATATGCATTTACTTATTTATTATTATGTTTATCTTTTTTTTTAGATGTTACATTTATCTAATTTACATATTACAAAAACGTCGGAAAACAAAAAGAAAAAGAGGGAAAAATTGGGGGTGGGGGAAATCTCTAATCTCTATTGAGTCTTGTTTCTGACTTTATTAATTTTCCTACACAGTCATCAACTTAATTTCAAGAGCTTTGTAAGTTGATATTTTTCTTTCAAACTTTTTTCTTAACAATTTATTGATCATTATGGTTTGAGATTCACAATAGCTATTTTGTTGGATAAATTTTGTTGAAAAATATTTTATTAGATAAGCTTGATATAAAGATTTAATTGCATCTTAAAATATGAAAAATAAATTTAAAATGGGTTTATTGGTTTTTAATATAAAGAGGCCCCTTTTAATTGGTTTAATTTTTCTCTCTTTAATATAGAAAGGCCCCTTTTAAAATTTTTGTCTAATTTTTGTCTAAACGCCTCAAATTTATTTGAGCCGACCCTGATCAAGCCCAAGAGGTCGGGTTCGGGCTGCCTATTGAGCACAAAGAGTTCGGGCTGTGCCAAGATTTTCAGCTTTGTGATTAAAAAACAAAATGAAAACTTGATAAATTATGGTTGCGTTTCGAATTGATCCCATTTTTATTTTTTACGTTTTTCAAGAAAAAAAATGAAAACGTCTTCAAAACGGCGTTTGGCACAATAAAGAAAAAAAAACATAAATGAAAACAAATTTTTGATTTAGTGTAAAATGAGAGAAAAATGAAAAATAACATTTAGTCATTTTTCATTTTTTGTTTTCGTTTTTTCCTCTCTCGAGCAGAGAAAGAGAGAGACATTAATAGGTTTTTTTACACTGAAAATAATCTCTTGATAAAACTACCAAACGTATTTTTAAAAATGATTTCTTTATGAGATTGAAAACGTTTTCATTTTCATTTTCATACAAAAAATAAAATTATTTTGGAACGAATTCCAAACGCGTTCTATAATATGATAGATATGCAGGAGTCAAAAAATAATAATGATACAAGTGTGGGTCCAATTTTTGCAGCATCTTTGAAATTGAGCACATGAAACACTCCACCTCATGCAGAGGTCTCCAGAGAACACAAACCTTGGCTAAAAACTAAAATGGACATGATACATGCATGCAACCAAAATTCCTACATATAATTTCTTACCTTGAAAGCCAACCATTCCTGAGCAAATTTGTTATCTTGGACTGAAGAATAATGTTGGGAAAAGTAGGCCTCTGGTGCTCTTGGTTCAATATTAAACCTTTTGCAAAAAGGTATCCAGTGCTTAGAGAAAAGAGAAGCCTCTAAAAGAGCGTAGAAAGTGAATTCAGAACCACCATCATCAGATACATAAACACTCAACTTTTCAGGTGGATAATTGTAGGACATTGCTGATAAAACTGTGTTGATCACCAATGTTGGCGGCTCCATTATCGGGTCCGCGGTGCAAACAAATATGTCCATACCCGGTAACATGTTCTCATATCTGTTTCCATGCAATGAAAACATTGAAATATGATACAACATCTATGACCTTAGGTCGTGCATATGAACAATTTCTTTTAACTTTCATATCAAAAACAAAAAAACAAAAACAAAAAACAAAAGCAAACGAACAAGAATATAAAAATAAAACAAAACAAAACAAAAAGATTTGGGATTCTTTTTAATATTTGCGTAAAAGAAAAGGGAGTACCAACTTTTTGATAACTGATACGGTTTGATCGATATAGTTATAATGAAATCTAACGATTAAAAATATATAACACTAATACAGTACTATAGAAATATCCTAAAAAGATGTATACTTAAATAAATGCCTTTTCTAATCATTAAAAATTACAAATAATGTTTATAGCATTGAATTTTTTAGGCTCTACGAAATATGAACTGAGGACTCCAATAAAACAAGGATGGGGTGAGTTATAGAGAAACACCGTTAAACATGCCACTTTTATAGAAAATTAGATCATTGTATTCTTTTTTGCATGAAAATATATAATAGATGAATGACTATAATTGAAAAGTGATATACAATCTAATTAACACGCCTTATATGTGTTTCCTGTCGTTTATGTGATGAGCTCCTCGGAGCTCAATATTGCTGTTAGCTCATTCTGAAACTCAATTAGAAAAGGGCCATTTATAAGGAGCCTTAATAGGTCATATTTGTTTAATTCTTTTTCCTTCGTAAAAGTAATTGTTTCAAAATTAAAGTACCTAAATTACCCCAAACCTAAATATAAAACAAACCGTTCTTCATTTCTCATTCTTTTCTCTTATCTCCCTCTCTTCTTTGTGTTATTTTACTGAATTGACTTAAAGAAGAGTAATGTGAAATTTCATATAGAAGACCTTATAAATTTTTATATAGAACTGATCAATTTCTGTCCACTTGAACATTAACAGCCATAAATAGCTTTTATAAAGATATTTTAATACATGCATAGATATTGTGGGCCCACGAACAAAGATATCCTTTTTTAAGGGAAAATGGCTTGATTTATTAATCTGATAAATCTAAAGCTAGAGTCAAGCCAAACAACATCAGAAAATCTAAAAAGACATAAGTAGTTAGTTAAAGCAAATATCATCAACTATATTAGATTCCGGCAAATAGCTTAAACATTTGGGATGAATTAGTAGTTAACGAAAACAACCGACCATAGTCATTTCTCAAAAGAAAATACGTGTTAAAGCTATCAATTTGTGTTGAGCAATTAAGTGCATCACTTCAAAATAAAAAAATAAAAAATAAAAAACGAAGAAGATAAAAAATTAAACACAATTTAAAATTAATAAATATCTTAAATACGTCTATCAAAAAAAAAAGTTCCTTGTTCACACTCTAGCTCCTTTATCCTTTTGTTTTTAATACATAATTTGTCTTTTTTTTTCCTTTTTTGTTTTTTTAAATATATAAAATATAATAACTATCAATAAATATGTAATCATTAAAAACCCGTCCACACACTATTCTTAATTTCATAAATATAATTTCTAACGATCCGAATCCTTACAATATATAGGTGTGTGAATGGCCGACGTGAGAGAGAATCATAATTAAGTTTTTTTTACCTGTTAGAAAGCCCGTCTTTCAAAGGATAAAAACGAATGAAACTCCATCGAACAGATTGAGTAATGACCCAGTACAATCCGAACCCTACTTCTGCCATGAACATTCCAATCCAAGCCCATCTTCTCCCTTCTGCAGGCTGATGATCATCATGATCATGATCATCATGATATCCAGTAGTTCTTGGAATAATGTTCTTCAATCTGTAAAACCATATCAAACATATCCCCACCATTATTGTGCTCGCAAACACCCTATAAATGCCTCTGAACCTCGCTTCTCTCGTCTCAAACAATCTTACGGCCTCACCATTATTCTGCTCCTGCTTTCCCTCCCCTCTCTCTCTCTCTCTCTCTCTCTCTCTCTCTCTCTCTCTCTCTCTCTCTCTCTCTCTCTCTCTCTCTCTCTCTCTCTCTCTCTCTCCCCTCGTGATTATGCGACAAAATGACTAGTGGTTAGGACATGTATATATAAGTGATTAGGAGTGTGGTTAATATACAATTATATGACATTCTGATTGTCAATGGAGTTTTGTCTCGAATGTTTTACGTAATAGATCGTATATATTAATTGAACAAAACTCGTGGGGATCAAAAAATGCGTAGAATATAGCACTGAATATGATGGGAACCGTTTCTATCATATAAGCGTACAGCAATAATGGAGGGGACCACATCATATACAGAAGAACTCTTTTACTAAATAACACGAACAAAGACATTAAATATCACAAACAATAATAGAGTGGACCACAAATCCTTTCATTGGATTGAAGTCATAAGTTTCACTATTTTGTGAAAAGAATGCAGGCAATTCATTTGGTGAGGTAGTTGCCCAAAAAAAGAAAATTGGGTAGCATATTACAAAAATTCAATAGATTCATATTTATATTATTTAGTTTCTTGCTATCTTCATTGATTATATATATATATATAGTACATATTTCAATAATCAAAGACCAGAGCAAATTAAGTTGTCTGATTTAATTTTTTGGTAAGAAAAAGTAATCTAATAGGATATTAAAAATCTTTTATCATGCATGAATTTTTTTTATGAAATGAGTGGCATAAAGATATAGTGGTATTTATGTATCTTTCTCATATTTATTTGAAATTTCTTAATTAAAGTTTGCACGCGCCACTACTACAATTTTTTTTTTTTGTTTTTTTTTTTTTTTTTGAAAGCAGTAGATATGTGTACTAATTACAGAATGGTAATATTGCACTCCTGAGAAGTCCAAAGTTTGAACATTTTTATTTAAAGAAAAGAAAATGTATACAAATACTTTTTTCACATAGCAACCACCAGAAATCGAAATCTAATATATATAAACACTTATCTGATATACAGATCATGATAATGTTACTAATCCCCAGAAGATGCAGTTTTTTTTTTTTTTTTTGGCAGGTTAGATGCTGAATTATATATGTTAAAAAATTTTCTGATAATTGAAAATTAAAAAAACAAAACAAAAAAAAAAAAAAAACTCATATTTGATTTATGTTTTTTGTGGCTGACACTGCAGGGTCGCATCTAATTTTATGTCGCGTAAAAAATAGAAAACACGCTATATTCTATGATAAAAGATTAAAAAATTAAAAATTATTCCTAATAATAAACTTAGTCCCGCTGTGGTCCTTATTTTCCATGTACAGTACATGAGAACAAAAAAACATATCTATAGGTTTCGCCGCCACTAGTAGTACTCGTCCATTCATTCAATTGTGGAGGCCAGATATTGATAGACCTTTTTTTTTTTTGTTAATTAATATACAATTGTAGGACACTGATTGTCAATGGAGTTTTGTTCGTATGTTCCACGTAATAGATCATATGAATTGGACGAAACTCATGTGGATCAAAAAATTCGAAGTATATGATGTTAGATGTTATTATGACTTGTTACATCCCTAAATTTTGAAGTATATGATCGTTTGATCTCCAATTTAATTTTGTGAACAAAAATTATTTGGATTTAAATTCTAATTGCAATGGTGGGACCACCATGAATTTTTGTCAAAGTCCGAATACATAAAAATCTGATATGCACAATGCACATGAATACTAATTTTAGGACAAATAGAAAAAATGTCTTGTAAAAGTTAGAAACATTGATTTTTGACTATAAAAATAGTTTTCATGTCTTAAAAGTCTTTCCAATACTATATAGGCAACCATTTGTTGATCAAGTCCCGCATTGGTTGAATTGACCAGATTCTTACAAGTAGCTAACAATTAGTGATAACGATTACGGGGCAACTTGCTTAGCCCTACCCAATAGCAGTTCGATCAAAAACTTGTTGCGTGATTTTTATGTGCTCGCAAGTGCACGAGTCACTTCAAGTAATAAAGTGTAAGTAGAGTATCATTTCCATGGAGAAAGTTATCAATATTTTTCTTAATAAGATCTAAAAAATGCAACGTAGACAAATTTAATAGTTTGATTCAATTACGAAGACTAAAAGAATTGCAATAAACACAAGTAAATAAATGCACACTAAGTTATCAAATGAGAAAATCAATCTATGTGAAAACTGGGATTCAATTTCCCCTTCCCTGAAATCTAGCTATTTATGCTACAACTTTTGCTACAGCGTTGCTGCAGGTTAACCTGAAACACGAATTTAGCATAGGAATCTCCTGATCCACTTATGATTTCACCTCTTTACTCATATTTCAACATATTCCGATGAGAAATCTAAACATAGAGGTTAAGTTAAGCATATGTTTCAATTGGGTTATGTGAGATAAGTGTATATTCCTATACTACTTGCAAATTAACTAGATTTCTTTGTGAAATTTAGCTAAACAACACATTGTGCAATATTGGTCTAAATTCCAATCAAACTTTCCAACAAATTGAACTTACAATTTTCTGTTTCAGATGGCCAATCAGTAAACAAAAATGAACAATAACGTTTATATTGAACAAACTAGAACAACATCAAAATAGACAAAGTAAGCATAAACAATGTTGATTACAGTTCCGGGTACTTTATCATCCCAGCCAAATTAATTTAGCTCATTCTTGCTCTGTTAATTACAACAAAATGAACATCCATTAGTTGAATACAGAGAAAGAGAAAAGATAAACCAAAATGATAGTAGAGGCTAGAAGAAGCTTGGTGGATTCCTCCCGTGGCTTCACTCCCTGAGATTTCCAACACAATTGCTCTCCTCCGTACTGGCTTTTTCTTTCGTTCTTTCTCTCTGGTTTTTCTTTTTAGTCTCTGCTGCCAGTTTTTCTTCACTCCCGTATCCCTCTATTTTCTCCTCTTGCTTCTTTCCCAAAAAAATTCCTTCCTCTAGCGGCTACCCTCCTTTCTTTAGGTTTGCAGGCACATTCCTCTTTAGGGCAACCAAGGACGCTGAGGTGGCATGTTGGGTCCAGCTGACTAGGCACCAAATCTGTCTTATGCGTTCTGTGTCCTTATTCTCGTGCAAGGTTATGTGCTGACGTCGTCCACTAAATGCATGCTGTCACATTTTTACTGTAGCAATTGCTGCAACATTTTTCATCACAAAATCTACAAATCAGAAACGACACCCTCTTTGACGTACGTTAACAATTTCCTCCAAAATTAGCACAGAAACCGCACACAACTGAATTCCAATAGGGTGCACCACATGAACCAAAAGTTGAGCAAATGAAGCATAGAATTAACAACTAAACTTTTGGATGAGCCAACTCTAAGCCTAGAAATGCCCAGAATAACTCTAATTCCTAGAGTTATCATGCTTAGCCTTACCCAATAGCAGTTCGATTGGAAAGAGTGGAAATATGTTTTCCAACAAAAATAAAATAAGATAGGATTATTATCACTAGTACCTCCTGAATTTTAGAGTCATTACTAGTTTGCTCCTTGAACTTTAAAAACTCTCACTTTGATTCTTAAACTTTGAGTTATTCTCACTTAACTCCTTCTGTTGCAAACTCTGTTAAATTCATATGGAAAAAAGGAGATTAAGTGTTGTCATATGGCTCTTATATGTTTGTTTCTAACAGAAATACCACGTGATTGCATTATTTTCTTTTTTTAATCATTTTTTAACAAAAATTACAAGAAAAAAGATTAAGTGCGAACAATTTCAAATTCAGTGAGTAAAGTGAGAATTTTTAAAGTTCACGAGACAAACTAATAATGATCCTAAAGTTCAAAGGCACAAGTGATAATAATCTAATAAAATAAGAAAAGAGTTTGAAATATTTGATATTGTTCCTATTACATCAGATCACCTTTGAAGCCCTTCAAACATGTACTAAGCACAAATCCCGTTTTATTTTATATTTTACTAAAATTAAAAAAGGTTAAATTATTTTCCAATATTTATTGATCACGAAAATTTCTCTATTTACCAATCAAGAACAAAGCGAATTAGATAACAAAACTTTTAACTTAACTGATTTATTTTGTTGATTAAACCTTTCTTTTGTCACTACAAGAAAAAAAGTCATTTGCGGCGACTCAATGTCGTCATAAATAGGTTATATGTCGCCATAAATACTGCATTTTTGACGACACGTTGTCACAAATTAGTTGCCGTCAAAAATTAGATGCAAATAATATATTTGTGACGACAGTCGTCACGAATGTTCCGTCGAATATGTCGTTGATGAGGACATGTCAAAGAGCATTTACGATGACACCGTAGAAATATGTCGTCGCTAGTAATGTGTATTATTTGTAATGACACCGTAGAAATGTCGTCGCAAATAGTTTTTTTTTTTTTTACTTTTTTAATAATATTAATTAATAAAGATAAAAATTTGAAGAAAATTTATAATAATATAATTGATATAAAAAGTAGGAAAACTTTTCAGCCCCACAAAAAGAATCTGGGCGATAAACAACAAATTCCATTCACACATCAAAAATGTCTCACTTCCCATTTCTGCCCATACAATTTCCATTCAGTACTAAAAAAAAGAATACCTCTACCACCCACATCAAAACAAATTAATGGAACAGAACACCTAGCATTTACACTAGTGACTATTTATGAATACTCATGGATATTTGCGGAATACTTATGGATATATATTTGATATATGATCCATCAATTTGTTCTTTGTCTTCCAGATGTGATGAAGTGTGATCACCGGACTGGACAGTTGAGGCATCTACATAAGAAACCTGAGAACTTTTATCCATAGCTGCAAGTAAAGAAGATCCGGATATGTGATACCTAAAAATGAAGATTGTGGATATGAAAGGAAACTTGGCGTTGACATCAGCTGAAATCCATAACACAAGGGACTGGCATTTACCTATGCTTTTTGTTTTTCATTTTTCCTCCGTTTTTATCTCATACCAGGTAAGTAACACCAACACAAAAAAGTCTAGATGATAATATAGTATGACAAAATCCATACTAAAAAAGTAACTCGTTCAGTCATTCTTTTGAACTTGTATAAAATTAAGCGTAAATTGCAATTCAAAGAGTTTA